AGTGGTCTGGCTAACTCTACCTGCAAGTCCTGCTGCTTTCATGAAAGAGGCAGTAACAGCGACCTGGTCCAGACACACACACAAACTGGTTCCCAGTTCTAGCACAGTTAGAGCCCCACCTGGAACTGTGTAACTGGGAGTAGTGCACTCTGGGGCAAAAAAAAAAAAAATAAAAAAGCTGATAAACTGTGAACAAATAACAGTATTTTATGTTATGTCTGCTGCTGATCTTCATTCATACCTCCCAGTTCAGGGACCTTGCCCTCATCTGTTTGTGCAGCTCACAGCTCTGTTACCACAAGGTTACACCTTAGCATGTGTTCTGGCTTATCTCCTGGCAATGCTATTTTCTGCCTCTTCCATTCCTGCATATGGTTCATACCATTCCATTTTTTTTTTAATGAATCAATCAGAACTAGCTTTTCTGCCAGTCTGCAGTTCTCTGCAAACCTTTTAGATTCACTCACATTCAGAGAAATATTGCAGATGCTCCCGTCATATTTAGTGCCAGCTCTTGGTTTAAGAGTCCTAGGATTGTGGGAATTTCTGCTTTTGCTTTTTCTTAAGGGTTGCTTTCTAGACCTCTTGTTTGTAAAGAAACTCCTGACGGTGTCACCTGTAAGGAACAGATGGCAATTAATTTATTTTTAAATAATATAGGCATCAAGTTTTTCTCCCTGAACAGGGGGAGATGATAAATCAAATTAGATATATATCCTTCTTTTCTCAGCAAGTGCATTTTCCCCCATGAATTCTGTCCCTTTGTCTTTTCACTCAGGACCCTCTAATGAAATCCATACTAACATTCAGTTCATTTTCTTAGCTCTGTCAGCACATTTATATACCTGTATTTTCAATATACTTTTTCCCAATATACTTGAACATAGTGTATTTGAGATACTGTATAGATAACACATTTGACTGAAAATGTCATATTTTATGACTATTTATGCAAGTTCAGTGCCCATCAAATAATGTCTAGCCAATATTAAAGTAGACAAAAATTAAATGTCAGTTTGAGTCTTCCATGTGGATTTTAGACAGGATATTTCAGTTTTCCTTCCATATCCTTTTGTCTGATGTAATTCCAAAGGCATGATTTCAATTTTTCTTTTTCACACTCCATATCTACAGGTGACTGCATCCTGTCTCCCCAGCGTTGTTCCATACTGCCCATGAGCAGTACCTTCTGTTTCCCTTTTTTTTTTTTTGCTTTGCTTGTTACTTATCACTTTTAAGACACTGATCCATCATGCACCATTCACATACTATTTACACTGTTTTGCAAAATCATTAAAGTGACCAGCATTGAAAGAGTTTGTGAGTAGATAACCTCAAGCTTAAGAAGCTGAAGAAAACTCCCTAAATCTCGGAGATCAGCTGGAGCTGGAGTCTGTACTACCACCTTTAGGTTGTACTACCACCCATCGGCTTAAAGTAGAATGAACAAAAGCAGCAGAGTGGACAAAGCCTTTGCTCTGCCTCTGCAGCACAGCCTGCCACAGCAGCCCAGCTCCAACACGAATGTGAATCCCAGCACTTGAAGATTCCTCATCCCTGACAGATTTAGCTGCAGTGGCTAGAAAGATTACTGGCCCCCATTATGGTTCCCTTTGACCATAGCTCTATCTGACAGAGACTTTGGCTTTTCAAGGATTTTTTTGGTGGCTGGTCCAAGACTAGATAATTTTACTATAAAAACTGAGGGAGTTTAAAAATTTATTCACTTGATAAACCTTTTTTGTTGTTGCTGTTGTAAGGGAACCTTAAAATATTTACCAATTTCAAATGTAAATTTCTCTTCTTGGATGAAGACACAAGCTATCTTGCTCTTCTTTCTAATTCTGGAAGGTGTTTCACTCCCTACAGCTTAAGATCTTAGTATCTGAAAACAGTTCCTGTGCAGGACAGAGTCCAAATTAAGCACGCTACTGATTTCTTAGTACAAGTGCTATGAGGAGAGGCTGAGGGAGCTGGGGGTGTTCAGCCTGGAGAAGAGGAGGCTCAGGGGTGACCTTATCACCCTCTACAACTCCCTGACAGGAGGTTGTAGTCAGGTGGGGGTTGGTCTCTTCTCCCAGGCAACTAGCAGTAGGACAAGAGGGCGCAGGCTCAAGTTCTGCCAGGGGAGGTTTAGGTTGGATATTAGGAAGAGATTTTTTACAGAGACAGTAATCAGACACTGGAATGTGCTGCCCAGAGAGGTGATGGATTCACCATCCCTGGAGGTTTTCAAGAAGAGACTGGATGTGGCACTTAGTGCCATGGTCTAGTAACCAGGATAGGGTTGGACTCGATCTTTGAGGTCTCTTCCAACCTGGTTGATTCTATGATTCCATGATTGCAGGTAAAACTACTTAATCTTGAAGGTTATTGTCAGCAAAAGTAATGAAATGCCATGGGTTTTGGTATCAGTGTAATCCAGTGCATCTTTAAACAATTTATTATTTTATTAGGTCAGATAAATCATCAGATCTGTTTCTTTTCATGTCAGCAATGTGCATCCTTCTGTAATTTTTTTGGGTTTTACACTTGCAGCAGCACTGCTTGAGTGGAACAAAACATGTTGGCCCCAAAATAATTAAATACAGGTATCAACCTTTATGTGCCTGCTTCAGGTATATTTTATCATATAACTAGATATTTATATAAGACAGATCACACTGATTTTTGTTCAGGAGCTGTGAAAAACGCAGACCTCTAATATTCAGTCCATCCTGCATATCTTGTGAATGAAGCTTTCATTACGTATTTACTTACAACATACAGTAAACAGGTATCTTTTAGTAAGCTGCAGCATTAGTTTCAATTAGCATTAGTCTAATTAGCATTAGCCTAAAATGTACATACCTATAAGAATACAAAAAATGCTAGCATTACTTCTGCTGGGATTGCTTTAAAATGTACTTTAAAATTGCTTCATGTCCTGGAAGAAAAGATTTGCATGAAGACTCTTTTGTTGATATTAAAGATTAGCTCATTGATAACCAACCTTCCATGTACTGTCCATTATTTTCAGTAATAAAAATATTGTGGAGCATTTCCAACACAGAACTACACTAATTATAGGAACTGCAAGATTTTTGTTGGGTGCTTTGAAGATACAGACCTTTTTTTTTTTTCATCAAACTGTTTAACATAAATACCCACTTCAGAAGAGACAATTTTTTTTCTCTCATAAAAATGAACAATATTCTGTGACAAATACTCAGCTGTATAAACTTGCTGAAACTTTATTATTTTAATATTTCAAATATCATCTGTTTAAAAGCAATGCATTTTGGCTGCACTCAGAAGAGGGCAAAATTGTTATCTGAGCAGTCGATTAATTTAATTAGAAAGCTATTCTAAATCATTTTTTTTCTATCTCAGTATTAGTGTACTTAAGATTATTTGGCTGTAGCCTTATGTTGCCACACAGGATTATAGGAATGTAATTTCATTAGGTCTCAATGAGGAGAGATAAACCTTCAAGGATTATTTACACATAAACTGAAAGGTACCACACCTTTTAGAAATGCAACTGTTGCTGCAGTGGAACGTCTGAATAATGAATAATGCATGAAAGCAAAGAGTATGGGTGGTGGGAGGGGAGCACTTGTTCAAAGTCATGTCTGTTCCTTTTGGCATGTTTACATGTAATTATTTTTCTAGGCTCTTTATGTTAAAATTCAGGCAAGTTTTACATCAGGACTGCTTTTGGAGCCTACTAATTTTGACTCCACAATCTTTAATTCTTACTAAATGTTGTTTCAGATACTGTTTAAAACCCAATCCCTGCTGCTCTTTGGAGACAAGATCGTAAGGTTTTCAAAGCTTTATCTTCAAATAGACAATCCTTGCTCTGCAACTGCATACCTTTTACTCTGCTTGCAACATAAAATCGATTTGCAGACATACTGTCTCCCTAAAGCATTCCTTATTCCTCTGAAATTTGAACTTGGGGTATTTCTAGGGAGTTATATTGTCAATACAGCAGCAGTTGTTAGACAGTTGTTCAGAGGAATACAACAATTTCAGATTTACAAGCTCTAGGTATTATGTGAGGTTGTATGCAAAAAGGTTCTCAGAAACAATGGCGAGGTTCAACACTGTCCAGTGAAACTCAAGACCACAACAGGAGTTAAACAGCTATTAGTTTATTGACAAAATGAATTGCAACTAGCATGGGAAGTCCCAGGAACCACATCGAGGGTTGCAAGGGAAAAGCAGACAGTCTGGTCAGATACCTGATCGAGGCTCAGTCCAGGGACATCCTTGCCTCAACTTAGGTATTTGATCTTTTGGCAGCAGGTTTTAGACATCTGTCTATCTAGATATAACTATCTCATGTCCACCTGGTTACACACCAAACAATACAATGATGCAATAATTAGAAGCTTGGGTCACTGTGACCTGAGGATCATCAGCGGGGGCAGCATGTTTGCTTTGTGAACTGGGACTAGATCACATGCATTGAGTGAAGTCCTTGACTCCTTGTCGACTTCCAAGTCCTCCCCTTCCATCCAGTACATCCCAACACAGTGCATTTCTCTGTACAAACTGTAGGAACCAGGCTCCAAACCTTGGAGTAGATGATTTTATGAATAATGTGACTTTCACCTTAATCACTACATCAGGGAAAAAAACCAAACCCAAAACCCATCCTTGTGGTATAGCCATTTACACTTGCAGCAGCACAGATAATTACGTGTTAAAACGTATTTAAAAGTATGTTTCCTATTACTTCTATATTAAAAAAAATCTAATGCAAAAGTATCCTTAAATTCCTTCCCCAAAGTAATCTAAAAATTTCTACAGTGTTTTAGGAAGACTTTCAATATAATGTACACAAACAAAGATTACCTGTAAATACTGCCTGAAGGAAGACAATGAGAATCAGAATGGCAATGTGCCATCAACAGTGCTCAGAAACGCAGCTGCTTTGAGGTTAGCATTTCTTTTGTTCATTTGGCTGTCTCTATACTGGCTGATTCGTATCAATCCCAAAGCAAAAATCATCAATAAGGTGCTTCATTAAGACATGGAAAATAGTCTTCGGTCTTGAAGAGGACTGGAGGTTCATATAGGGTCTGTTGTCGTGAGGAAGACGATTTCTGCAAATTAGATGAGTTTATTTTTCAGCTTTTAAAAAAACCCAACATTTTAAAACAAAGCCTACAGAGTCAAAAATGCAAAACAAGAAAAGTTTTAAAGGCCTATCTCCTTAGACAAGTAAATTCTTAATCACAGCTCAGATGAGTCTGGCACATTCTTAGTGTTAGTGAAGAAATGCAGCCTTTGACCTTTGCCATTCTACCACCTCAACAGATTCAGTCCTGGGAAGTGTATGATATACCAGTGTTGCAGAAGCCAAAGGCGTAATCTTTTCCAGCTGATGGTATAGTCAATATGACCTTCATCGCTCCAAAGCCATATACCTTTCCTGCTCTGACCTTTGAGTTCTCCTCAGCTGTCTCCTTTGAATTCACACTAACTGGTGTTCTCAATTACTTAAAAAAGTCCTTGCATGGAAACACACCTAGCAGATGTTTCTCTCAAGAAAGTTGCTGTTTGTGCTGAGCCTCTTCACTTGACATACTGCTTAAAAATAATGTGGCAGTGAACTGGAAATTGCTGTTACGCTGTTTTTCAGGAAAAGTGTACATGTTTCTTTTAAAAAGTACATTGTTATGCTATACCAATTGGCTCATTTAAAGAGACAACAGCATGGACCACTAATGACTATTGTGTCAGCCTTCCTGCATGGAAATAATGTTGCAGCACAGACCCAGTGTTGGTTTTCAATAAATGGTCTTACACAGAAGGCTTGAAATTCATTCATTAAAAATTCTTTTGCACTCATGAAAAGATTTTCATGAACTATTTTGTAGACCTCTCAGTCAGTTTGTCTGCAGAGTTCTTCAGGTACTTTTTTTGCCTGTCTGGAAGGAGGAAAGTAGAGCCTTCACCAATAATAAAGTTACAAGCATAACAACTATAATTAGAACACTTCCAATTTGGAATGCTTTTACAGTACCAAAGTGAGGATATAAGTAAGTATGCCTACAAAACAGCAAAGTGGAAATTTCCCAGTATTCAGTTGAGCTGTGTATTTGTACTCCGTAAGAAATAAGTACATATTCTCCTGTTCTATATAAAATTGCTGATTTATTAAATTACATGTCTTTAACTTCACATTACTATTAATTTCTCTTTGTTTTTCCATTCAAGTTGTGATGAAATAAAAAAATATAAACAAAGACCTGCTCTATTAATAGTAGCTATTACCAGTGTTATCTATGTCACAAATATTGCCAAATGTAAAAGTAACCTTTGAAATCAAAGTTCTGATTTTTAAAATTATTTCCTATCCTGCACTGTCCTATGAGAAAACACCTTGCAAGCAAGGGAAACTAAGGTCACAGGTTTTTTGCAACTCATGACAGTGATTTAAGAGGCACTATATTTTCCTATGTGCAAGAAGGAGATAATTTCAATCCAGTGTGGAAATTCATAGGCAGGCACAGTACCCACAGTTGCCTAAGTACACATTTATGATAAGCTATTTTTGCAGCTGCTTAGCAGACATTTTTATCTTTTGAGAGTCTACTTCCTTAGTGATATTAGAAGTCTTACAGTATTGTACTTTACACTGCCTGGAATTCACAAGGGAAGAAGTTTGGGCAAAATCTGAAAGTGAGATTACAAATGCATACCTTGAGAAATACAAAATATATCCTTTGTGAAAAGAAACAGATACACTTGAATGGGAAGAGAATGAGGGGACCTCACTAAATGAGAACTGTAGCAAGAAAATGTGAACTACAGCTACAGTGAAAATTATGACATCAGAAAAGCCTTCTGATATACTGAGCTAGTTAAATGCCAGACATGAAGAAAAATCTCTGTAGGCATTTCCATTCAGATATGCTTGTGTTTCCTAGTAAAAGTTGGTATTTTACTATGCAGTAGCTAGTACCACTGCAGAACAGTAAACTGCCTTTTAGTTAAACAATTAATGCCAGCAAGTTCTGAGTGTTATTTTATTGCTATCCATACTCAAACTAAGAAACCACTGGACATGCCAGGTTCAGCTTGCTGACACTTTCAAAGACTTTTCATCTTATTAATTGTGGAAAAACTGCTAAGCTGACAAAGTGTTCTCATGCAACACTAACAAAAGCATTTTCTTAGAACTATCAAACTTTTCAGTTGAAGATTGTAATCCCATGGGTGACAACAATTTTTAGCCAAAAAAAAAAAAAGAAAAAGGGAAAGACTGTTGAATATTCTTCCAGGCAACTTATGCAATTGTTTGTTTTTGTAACTGGCCTATAAATAGCAGTTTTGTGTTGTTTGGTTTTTTTAAAAGAAAAAAATGACAGCACTGTAAACTTAAACAACAAAGAAAATAAAGAAATGAGAAATTAACTAAGTTAAAGAATGCACAGAAAAGAATAGTGAAGAACAAGTTTCCTAAACTGAGTCTTAACAAGGTAATATATATTCTTTTAATATGTAATTTTCTCTGTTGCCAGACATGCTTGCAATATATAGGAACAAAAATAGCACAAAACCCTCACAACCTTCTTACCTGCCTCCCTCTACAAATCTATTTATTTTCACCAGAATACAGAAACCTAAGTACAATATGAATATAGGAAAAGATAAAGAAAATAATCTGTGAGCTGACAAGTTGCAAGGAGTAGAACCTACAAATGGTGTACTGGCAGTTTATGTCAAGAAGCATCAGGTGTTCAGAAGATTTTTACTTTTTTTTTAACCAGAAGGTTATTTTAAAACTAAGGCATGATGCCAGTTTAAGGTTAGGTAAGGAATCTCTGAAACATGCTAGAGAGAGCACTTCAAATCTTCTGTAAAGGATCAGTCCACAAGGAAAACCACATCCTTAGAAAGTTTACAAAGGTGCTTACGATTACTGAACTGTGGGGACTGAGTAAACATAGAACCTTTATTTTAAAAATGCTGTGCAGTGTCGCTTTCATTTTCTTTTTTGGTAACATTTCTGCAGTGATGTTATCAATGCAGTATGATTCTTCAGCAGTGTTGTCTTACAGGCTCCTCCTACTTGCTTCACATACCACAGAGATCAGGAGTGCTTTAGTACAAAGGTTTGTGCATTACGTGCTGATTTGGGCCCTGCACATTCCTTTCTTTATGTGCTCAGCCTTGTGTTGCAAAGTTACACAAATCCATGTAAGAAATCGTGATTTTTAAGTTCAGTTGGTTTTTTTGTTGCCTTTAATTAAGCCTGAGAAGTTTGTAAAAATCATAATAAAATATATAAAAGTTTTACTGTTAAATTCAGATACATGTGTAACAAACTTACTGTTATTTTAATAACCTAAGATTAAGTAGTAAAGCAACTAAGCTGATCACATGGTGCCAAAAGTTTACTTACATTAAGGAAGGATGGCATGCTGATTGTGTGCAAGATTTTCTTGAATGTGCTTGGAAAAGCTCCAAGGTCTGTTTCTGCCTTTATGACCCGTTCTTCCAGTCCAGCTACGCTATTCCCAATCATTTTCACAAAAGCCTGATGTGAAAAAAAGAATCAAAATAAATATGACTTTTCACTAACAAAATAAAACAGTTGTGTATTGCACAACAGTGGTGAAAAATCCATTTCATAAATGAGGAGTCAAAAACTTAATGCTCTATTTCCCTTTCACCTACAAGTCCACTTAATTGCTGAAACTTACTAGAGATACTTAAAAGGCTGAAAAACAGGTTAAATAAAACAATCAGTCTTCCTTTTCCTATATACCTTTCAAATAACTCATTTAGACTTCTTCAAATCTAGATTTCTATCTGCCTTTCTACTACTAATAGAAAGACCAGGGATTTGAATTACAACTTTGAAGCTCTATCAGGAACCAACAGACCTCTTATTCTACTCATCTCTGAAGACAGTAACTTTGAAAGATACTATACAAACTGCCTTGCTTCAAGCAGCCAAACAGGATACATCTAGAAGAAAAAAAATACATACCTCTAGTTTGTCAATCTTCCTATATATATGCCTCATTTCTGTAGCTTTTGTGTAAATCTGAGGTATACTTTCATTGACAACTTGAGAGGAATCACTCCGAATCTAAAGACAATTCGAAGAAATAATAAAAACCTCGATGAATAAAATAAAATGCTTAGTAGATTTCATTCTGGAAACTAGAACTGTGCTTCAATCAACAGATTACGATTTGTAGTTTAAAAATATCAGATTAGAATTTGTATAAAAATACTAGATTGAAACTAACACGCTAGGTTTTTTGTATAGTTCTGTAACTTTGAAGAAAATTTCTTTTGCATAGGCTAATCTTTACCTTTTAATTGTATTAAAAATAGAGTACTACAGCCTCATCAGAACTGAGATGGAACATTTCCTAACATGTACTAAAAGAAAAAGTAAAGTTCCCCTTAGAGAAGTGCAGGAGAACCACATGTGCTATGCTTTAAAAGACAGCCTGTATACCAGTGTCTGCTTTTAGGAACTTTCCATTCAGTTCCTCAATCTCCCTCTATCTGAAAGTGAAAACAAAGCTGCCTTTGTGGTAAGTGGGTCCCCCTAAAGACAAATCTAGCTTTGGAGGTTTGGCAACTCTGATTAGATACTCTGATTATAAAAAGCACAGAGCATGTCTTTACATGATTTAAAAGAAAAGCAGAACATCATATTGCTCTTTTAAACATCTGCCATTGTGCCATTCTGCAAAATGGGATTGTGTGCATGTACACTGACAAGTATGCAAACACAACTACACAAATATGCAGTTAGGAAAAACGTCTTTGCTGAAAGGGCTGTCAGGCACTGGAACAGGCTGCCCAGGAAAGTGGTTGAGTCACCATCCCTGGAGGTATTTAAAAGGTGTAGCTGTGGCATAGATGGCTATACAGGCATATGATAGGAAATTTTGGTAGCTTTCATCCATGAGTTATCTAATTATCAAAATGACTTATCTAACTATCAAATGTGTTTTCATACCAGAACTTGCCTGGACCAAAGGCTTCTTTCTTTCTGTGTCTTAAGCACTGAATAAACTGTATTCTGACTTCAAAAACACAACTACATGCAAATTATACATACCATGTCCAGCATTCCCACGAATTCATCCACTCTGGTCAGTAAGTCTTCCAGACTCTTGTCTAAACTTTCTATCTGCAAAAGAGAAACCCTTTAAAGGTACTTGAAAACACGAAAAAACCCCCACTCAGATTCTCCCAAGTGGTGTGGTTTAACCCCAGCCAGCAGCCAAGAACCACGCAGCCACTTACACTCCCTCCTCCCCTCTCTTCCCCCCAACCAGTAGGAACGGGGAGGAGAAAAATAAAGTAAAATATGTAGGTTTTACGTATTTTGTAAAAATATAAGAACAGTTTAACAATAATAGAGAGCAGAATGAGCTAAAATGCTAATGGATAATAAGAAGAACAAAACCAGTGATGTACAATCCAATTGCTCACCACTCATGGACTGGTGCAACCCTGAACCTACCCCCGGATCGGCTTTTTTCTGATATACTGGGCATGATGTGCCATGGGGTGGAATATCCCTTTGGCTAGTTCAGCTCACCTGTCCCGGCTATGCTCCCTCACAGCTTCTTGTGTACCTTCTCACTGGCAGAGCATGAGACACAAGGAACAAAATACCCTTGATTTAGGATAAACACAACTCAGCAGAAGCCAAACCATCAGAGCACTATCGACAGTATTCTCACTCTGAATCCAAACGCTGCGCTACACTAGCTACTGAGAAAAT